TACTTGTTCATACCTGGTGCAGAAGTCTCAAAAAGGTGGTTACAAAATTAATATAAAAAACTAGTTTTTGGCTATTATCTCAGTCATTTCTCATTACATTGACACGAGAATAGTTCAGTCCATGTAACAAACAATACACTATTATGATTCCAAGACTTACTAGCTAACTCCGTTCGAGAGTCTAGAAAAGGTGGTTACAAAGAAAAATGGAGGTCTTCTAATTTTGTCATGTAAACATGAGGCCTGTTGACAAAATGAAATGAGAATATATTTATTAGGTCTACTGAACAAAACAAAAGACCTATATACCTTCTTTCACAAAAATAAGTGAGTCAAGAAAATTCTTAAAAACATAGACAGAGAGAAAAGCGCCAAGGATAGAGCTATGCTGGTTATGACGTTTACAGATGAACTTCAAAGAGTTAATTGGATACCGACTTCCTGTTTCATATCCATGTGTGTATGTAGTATCTATGCTGTAATGAAAACCCACCAGCTGTTGCAGAGCGGGTCCGTTGTGGTCCGCGCGGGTCCGCTGCGGCCCGCCAAATTTTTTTCGTCTACAAAATTTTTGGTCCGGGCGGGTCCGTCCGGTCCGGTCTGTCCGGTCATAGATACTATATACCCCTGGATACGAAACTCTTCTATGCACACATATAAAATCCCATAAGGAAACGTCATAAACGTCACATCCGGCTGTCCTCACCCTTGTTTCGCTGCATTCATGGCTGCCAGGGTAAGTAAAACAATCACAGTAGCCTATTCGTTTGTTAAAGTAGCTGAATGATCCCTCAGAAGACTTTGCAAAGCCTTTATATATTGAAATAATGCTCATAAAAGATAGTTTGAGTGCATATTATAGTTCTACAATGGATTTCATAGCCTACTTCTTGTGTACATTCACTCAAGCCACTTTTTTAGCTTAACTCTGTTGAATTAGGCCAACATTTTTTATTGTACTGATAGGTTATTGTTTACTAGTTGTAGTGGGGCTATTATTTAGAGTTTGTGTTAAGTAAAAGAGCTGTTATTTTCTAAATCTTGGTTTTTCAAGCCCCACCTTTCTAGCCAATTTTTCTTTGTAATACTTGACTTAATTGGAACTTTTTCTATATGGTTTTGTAGCTTGAGAATAGGTAGTTGTAGTGGGCCTATTCTCAAAAGGAGTGTATTTTTAGTTTTGGTGCAATCGTGTTGTCAAATTCATCATTTTTAGGTGACAAGAGATGGGAAAGTCATGCATTGGTAGACTGCATATACTAAAAGAAAAGGAAAGTTTCAGCAATTATAATGCATGATAAATGTCAAGTTTTATTGTATTATTGTACATAAAATCACACTTTTATTAGCAATAATAATAATACTTTTTATCATTGTTTTATTTTTATTCTCAATGAAAACGTAATTGGGCGAAGCCCACTAGTTCGAGTAGAGTATGTTTGTCTGTCTGTCTGTCTGTACACGTACGTCACCCCTATTTATCCGTATGAAAAATTTTCCTATTTTAATAACCTAATCTTAATCTTCTTTGAAAACGGGCGTGGTCACAGTGAAATAAAATGGCGCCAGCTATCAATTCTTCATTGTTCTTCATGTTCTTGACCTTATAAGTTACAAGTCACTCACTTGAGTCAGCAAGAATGCAAGAGAAGTCTCTACTGTGAGCTTGTAAAGCCTCCACAACTACTGACATAACCTATGACTGCAGTTACTGTCTCTGGCTTCCAACACAACTTTTTTGCTGCAGAATGTGATAAACTGATAAAGAAAATTTGTATTTCCAAGCATGATAACTTCATTACAAACTTACAAACTACTGTATTTACTCATGTACATGTACAATAATGTAGCTCTATACCATATAACCTTTAAAAAATATAGCGTGGTTAGGGGGCTGAGCCCCTTAATGTTTTACATTCGTCTAGTATGACGTATTTCCGGTGAAACAAGCCTCAGAACATCCGGTCGGGCCGTGTTTCATATCCAGGGGTATATAGTATCTATGGCTCTATATTGACCCACGTACGCGACCTTAGTGAATAGTGATGTACAGTTTATTTTTATAATAATTTTTTCCCTTCAACTTCCTGTTATAAATGGCTACCAGATCGATCATAATATGGACCACTCCCAAATCCTCTGTCAAACATTGTCACAGATTTTTATTCACTAGTAGCTCAGTGTTTGGTCTGAGTGACCTTTTTAGAAAAGTTGTTTTTGGGAATGAAAATGAAAGGTAACCATAATAATAATAATAATTAGTGTTATCATGCATAATTTTTATTGATTAATGCATTGGTTACTTATTATATATATATAATGAATATGTACAAGTTATTGTTCATCATGCTATATCATGTCTTCATTTTAGTCTATTGCCCTACAAGATGGTAGCTCCTAAAGAGCCCAAACTCCGTCCATTGAAGTTGAGCAGGAACGAGCTTGAGCTGAGAGTTAAAGAAATGGCGACCACTATCTATCTTACCTATCAGTGATAATGACGATTGGACTAGAAATAGAATTGATCATAATTTGGAGATAAAGAGCAAAGTAAGTTATGGTGTACAATACTTTTACAAATTAATATTTAAAATATTCCAAGACTTTAATTGTAAAACAATAGCTATGTAAACAATATCAATATGTGAATGTAATTTATACGTCAATGTATACACCATATGTGAATGTGTAGCTGAATATTTTAATTCCAAACAAGGTATAACATAATAATAACATGCCAAAATTAAGTATATTATTAAATTCCGTTACATTGCTATAAGGAAAATTGAATTTGCAGTATAATAATTACTGAACATTTGCTTGCTCAATTTATGATAATAAATGGATTTTGCTGGCAAGATGTTTTAAGATAGCTATGTTTTCATTTCTAATGTTTTGGTTACACTAAAAACCTCAAACTGAAGGCTTCTTATGGGATATAATTTGGGACTGGATTTGTTTTTTTGAGCTTCTAATTAAAATTTCTTTATGATACTTTATCACCAACTTGCTAAATGCACATCATGCATACACAGGAAAACAGTCACTAATTATAATTATTTTTGTATTCATCAGTAGCTCATACATATATGTACATAAGGATAATTTTATATGCTCATGCCTTACAACTTTTATTTAACTAATTTTTTATTTAATCTTTTATCATTAGATCCTTTACGAGTGTGAGAAGCAGTTCCAGCGACAGATACCCAATAATGCTCTAAAAGGCATATCAACTCTTGGGGACATTGTGTCATTCTTTCACACTCCTCTTGCCCCTCCCCCT